ATGTCATGAATGAACACATATTAGGTGTAGTGGTTTGACAGTAGATCTAACCCGTAACTTATCACTGAACCATGACATTCACTCTCTAACTCTGTTGACATAGCCTTGGCTTTCACATCCAGCTCACTGTGGTTTGATATTTTCTCAGAGTGGAGATCAGCCAACTAAAACATGATATGATAAGTCTGTTTTTTTACATTCCAAAACATCATACTCCCACATTTCCCCCCAAAGAAGGACACAACGGGATTTCAAAGACAATGGACGACTTTTTCTTCACATTATTCCAATAATATATTACATTTCTGATAGTCGTTTACAGACTGTGGGCTACATAGATCTGGAACGAGGGTGAGGTTATGAGCACCAGTTCGCTGTCTGGATCATGGCTGTGCACTTTTCTAGAAAGTTCCAGGTGAGACTGGGAGCGAAAGGACAGGAGGAGGCAGCAGAACAAAAGCGCCGTGTGTTCCCGAGTCGGGCTATAATCCACCAATCCAGGCAGGGCTACCAGCGTCACCTAGCAACCAGTATAGCACACTACACACTGAAGTCCTGCACCTTCCCGCGTGCATGCGCGTAAAGACTTACCCTCGTTCCCATCTGGTTTGGAGTTCTTGATGTATGCAGAAAACTTGGCAAAGATGTCCATGCCAGCGGTGTTTGACTCGGGATGTCTTGCACCAAGCTTGATGTACCTGCAAAATAAACACATATGCTGCTGTTATTTTACATTTTCTCTGTGCAGACATCATTAGAAAATAAAAATGTACAAAGAACAGCTCAATAAAAGCCCCGTTTACTACTGACAGACACCAACACTATAAGTGGAAGGCTCATAAAATGTGTTGACAATAAAATAAATACCGCAAAACTTTATTTAATCGTCATTTACGATCAACAAAAGGCTCTGTGATTAACTGCTCGTGGTGCAGTTAATCGTAAGTGGGGGGTGTTTGGTGTCTAGGTGTGGCGAGCAGTCATCGCAGGAGTTTGAAACAGAAAGCACTCACTTGGGCGGGGAGAGAACGTCCTCAAGAAACTCCTCGATCTTGTTGACGTCGGTTTTGACCTCGCCGTTGAAGGTGATGAAGGGCGGGTGCGTGCCGGGGGCCAGGTTCTGGAGGTCTGCGGGCTTCCTGGGACACGGAGTGGAGAAATGTCAGTGGGCAGATGAAGGCAGAACCTTGTGTTGAGAGCTTGTTTCTAACATGTAAAATCTGCTTTTATCCCCACAAAAGGAACCAAAGATTTGACTTAATACTGTGTGTATAATATACTGTGTAATTACTTTAAGATCAAATATTTAACGGGCTGCGTTTCTGCTGCGTGTTTTTTCAGACCTCTACAACCCGCCTCCAGCTGGAGCCGCTGTGCTGAGAGTCTGTTTGTGTCCCCTTTTTTCTCTGTGGCCTTCAAACCAGCACATTTCGTGCCAGATGTCTCTGGCAGGCAGATGAGGCTGACACACAAACAGCAATGAGCATGTGCTGAATGAGTCTTCAGTATAAAAACAACAAAACAGCAGTGACTCAGCCG